ATTAACTCGGAAAACATCTATAGACTCAAGGATGTGGTAAACGTGGGGCTCTGGCAAGGTAGTACACACGTTAAAGTGGAGACACCTGCTGTCATTGCCTACCATGACAGCGACCCTGAACTACACCTGGCTCCAAATTTACATATGTGCACCCTCACCAGAGAAATCCACTATCTGTGTCCCAGTAAGCCGTTCCTTCGCGACAACACGGATGGGATCTGCGGCCTCAAACCCATGGCGGAACACGCCCGGTGTCCCACAACACTCACACCCCGGGCCAAAGTCACTAAGACTCAGGCCGAAATAATTGGGAACCGCTGGCTAGTAAACACCCCCGCTAGAACGGCCACCCTGACCTACGACCTGCATGACACCGCCACTCGCATCCAACTACCCGACCAAACCATGTGGGTAGACGTACCAGAGAATGCCATTCTACACATAGAAGAGGTAGCCCTCTATCATTTGAACCCAGAGCAATATGAGAGCGAGATTGAAGTACCTGACTTCTTTGGTACCCGCTCTCTAGAGTTAAACCCTGACACTATCACTCAGATACAATACAAAGGAGCCCAAACAATTGATGTGACCCCTATTGATGACATGCTCCGTGAAATTGCCACCACAAATTACACCCTTAGTCAACCCCTAGCCCACTCATGGTCCGGGCCCGACTCAATCTTAGCCACCACCATCATTCTAGGTTACTTGTTCATTTTTGGATTGGCTTTCTTCTATATCAAGCGTACCCAGGCTCTGCAAGGCAAACTAGACAAATGCACCCGGGGAGTGGCCGCCCTTGTAGGTAATAGGGCCTCTAAACGAAGACCAGCTGCAGATCTAGAAATGGTGGAGGAGGACCGTGAATACAGCAGACCAGAAAACATAATGGCCCCTGCTATTCTAGAATTAGTATACTAATAGAGCCACTCAACACTTAGCGACTCTAGAAGGACACCAACCTGATCCCAGATGTTGTTGTGTTTTGCCACCTGTTCTCCCCTGCTTGATCCCTTCTAACTCACCAGCATCTGACCAACACCTGATCAACACCGGACCAGCATCTGACCAACACCTGATCAACACCGGACCAGCACCTGCGCTGGTTGCTCCTCATCTTCGACCCGGTGTTCCCTATCAGAGCGAATACCGGCTCGAAAGGGGGGACTGTTGTGAACGCAACCAGACGCACTTCAAAGAAGGTCAGATGGTGTCAAAAGAGGGAGGGAAGTTTCCCTCCCCGAGAGTTGACCTCTTTCACATGTAAAACCCAGAGACATCGCCTGGTGTTGGTAAGGACCGAAAGAGACTCAATCAGACAATGAATCGCTTAAGGATTGTGTATTCAGAGAGCCTTAGTGAACCTTTCTAGCTGTAAAGGTGTCACTAAAGACAGTCCACAGAACAGGAAAAGGGGCGATCTGACCCCTTTCCCTCCAGCAGGTCACCTCCAGCCTCAATCTGACTCTTTTCTCCCACAGAACGGCTGAGCCATAAACCACCAATTCATTCTCTGATATCCTGTGCGATAAGCCAGGAATGCAGAGAAGACCATAAAAACCCCTGTTACTCAAACCAAGCAAGGTTCCAGTATAACTGTGTTTATTCTGTTTAAATAATAACCTTGCTAAGTGAGCAGCAGTGTTAGCCTCTGAGTTTAGTAAGTAATAACCCTGTTGTTATCCTTTAGTGATGTTTGAAGACTAGCAGACCCATAAGAAAGTAATCTTGAACTAGTTTTCTAACCTCATTCTGTGTTGTCTTAAGTCATTCCTGTTACTCCCTAGTAATCACTGTCTATTCAATGCTAACTAATGCTTTAGTTAAATGTTTCATATACAATTTCTTACTAAATTATCCATGGAAACGCTCGTAGGCATCACCAGCCTCTCAGTTAAAGTGGAATGTCTACTCTTTTCTTGTGTGACCCGAGCGCCACCAAGGGGACAAGAAAGGTATAACACGCAAGTGTTTAAAACTCGGTTTACACTGACAGAATTGTTAAGTAGGCCTAACTATCACCACGTAATTGCATAAACGAAATTATACTGTCATGCTGACATCTAAATTGTCTCATGAGTTAAAACCAGTAACCAGCAAGTATACTGAGGACATGTAATCAAGCTTTGTTACGTTTTATATAACCATTATAACTTTTTCCATAGTGTTTAGCCTTGTTTTAACTGTCTTTATCCGAATGTTTAGAACTAAGTATTTTTCCAAATGTCGATATTGTGGAGAGAGAGATCAAAGAGAAATACGCGCAACGTATATTTCTTTATCCCAAAAGTTAACACCTTAGCGACGTTTGTGAGACCATCCCCAAAATTGACGTCACTACCTAGCGGAATCAATAAAAAGGCCTTGCTGTCTTTTGTTCTAGGCTTCTTACCTCTTCAAAACTCTTCGTTTAAACTTTCTTGAAACTAAACGTATACGTTCTCTTAAACTTCCTTTACTTTTGAAATTCCGATTTTTGTTTCGTACTTAAATTTCCTTCAGACGAGCTGAGAAGGCTACGACCCTGAATTCCAAATTTCTCAGCGGGAGATTTGATTTTCTTTATTTTGTTTGGAGCTGCCTGTTTAACCTCAGCAACATTAAATAGCCGATATTCCCGAGGCGTCGCGAACCTACGGTGAATGTGTGAGTTTATTTGATTTTGTTGTTGCAACCCCATCCGACCGTTGTGAGCAACTTTGGACCAGAAACTCAGAAGCCTTCATTTATGGCCTTGAATAAATGAAACTACGGCTCTGACGACCAAAACCCTGAGTGGGCCCTATAGCGACACCAAACGAACTGAGATCAGAGCAAAAGCCTTGGCTGACAGCCCGTTGCTGCAAGCGCTTCCCACAGAGGACTCCGGAACCAATCCACCGGTTTCAACCCAACTCGAAAACGCCACTGGGGTCGGGCCAGAACCGACTTCCCGAGTCAACCGGCAGTCGAGCCTCGCCACGGGACCTGCGGCAACGGTAGGCCAAAACAAACAACACTCTGTGACTCGTTGGTGATCTATGGGCTCCATCCACAGTTAATAAACCCTTAGATTAGACAAGCTAAATCTGCAACCCAATTTCGGTTATTCGTTCCCTCATACTCGTAGAATTCTCTCCCTCTACAATAAACTAAAACTCAATCGAACCTTACATAGGCTACCCTTTTTAGTACCTCCTTGTGGTCATATTAACTGTTACCCCTGTAATATCACCACATTTACCCACTATTGTACTCTCTTTTGTTAGTTAATAAATTCACTTTGAGCACAGCGATGTATGTGTGTGTGTTATTCAGAATCTAGAGTCCCTATACACAGAACTTACGCTCAGATCTGAGACTGACTGACTGACCTTACGATTTCAGAATAACAACTAATGAATTAACCGAACTCGGTATAAATCTCAGGCTATACTCAAGGACCTAAAGGCTTGGGCGGACAAGCAAATCTTTAGGTGGTGCTCCTAATTTCGAGGTATAAAATTAATATTCCCGGAAATATTAATTTTCATAACTGTATTAAAATTTTACGTAGCCGAGATCTGCTACACCAGTTGCCCTTGATTTGAACCTTCCTTCGATGATTCATTAAACTGTGTTTTTCTCTGCTCTCAACATAAGCTGCGATCATTAGCATGGCTAACTAGCTTACTACCTACAGTATTAACTGAGAATTACTTCCGAGGTCAAGGAGCACTTTAGCAACTACCAACATTCTCCCAAGGTTACTTGTTTGAAACTACAAACAACCTAAGCTGAGTGATTTGGAAACAGCGCTTTCAACCAGCTCATGGAGCCTTGTGTAACGAGACCTGACGATGCTCAAAAACAAGATGAGAAGATTTTTAGCACTATTTTGAAGAAATATGAAACGTTAAAATATGGGGTTCCTCCCCAAGAAGATTTTGAGCATTAAATACTTAATTTCCTGCATTCTGGAAACATTTTCTGCTCCAATTTAGGGTGGAAATGTCTTCCTTTATAAAAAGTGGAACAAAAAATTCAGCTGGGAGATGACAAATCATAAATAGAAAAAAATAACAGATGATAATGCAGTAAACAGCAGTCTGTTGCACAATGCACGTTTCTTCTATATTTACTTGCTTTGCATGTTTTCTTATTGTGCAAATAAACCTTTCTCAAAGCATTTTCGTTTCTTAGTTAACATCTCTTGCTATTTTTCAGAACATTTTTAACAGATACTTTCAAAAAGTGAGGGGGACAAAATCAGCCATTTCAAAATGTGGTGGGGACATGTCCCCAGCGTCCCCAGTTAAGGCTTAAAAATCTAGCTAGGTACAGCTGCTAAAATCTGCCCGCGACAGTTGTCATTTCAGCTGTCAAAATAAATGGTTGCCAGCGTGAAATAAGAAGCCTACTTTTGTCTATGTCTAACAATTTCGAGTGTTACATCTGTAACGTTATCGATGCAAACTCTGTATGTGTTGTGCAAGGATTATATGAGAGAAAAAAGATTAACCACATCACTCTAACAAATAAACAGGGAAACTGATGAAAATATTAGCGTCTCTTGTGAGAAACACAAGATGAAGTGTGCTTACCCTGTTTGTACTGTACTCATGATACATGAATGTGTTCCATTAGCCCAGTATGCCTACACACAGAGACAGTTCTGCCTGCCATGTATGAAAAATACTGTCTGTCTGAGTTGAATCTTCCACCAAAACTTTGACAGTGGGCTGTACAGTAAACCAAGACACTTTTTATCTCTTGCATTGTGAAAAGCAATGTAGATGTGACTGGATTGAAAGGTTGATGAGGAACAAGGTGGGACGTAAGTTCTAAAATATACTCCTGTTACAGTAATTGAGTGAGTTTTCTGTGTATTTATACTTTGAGTGTTTTCTAAAGGTAGCTCTGACACCCAAAAGGGAGTGATAAAAGGTGATTGAGCTAATGCAGGACAGATTCTAGATAAATATATGAATGTGGGCGTCATCTCCGGGAATGCTTCCCTGCACAGAGAGGAGTTTATTTACCGAATCAATGACTCCCCGGAGGGCGTGGAAGCCGCCCAACACAGGAAACACATGCTCGATGGTATCTGCAATGGTGGCCAGCTATAGGGGGAGACAGAGGTGTTGGTTATTATTGACTAAATTAAAAAATAAGTATTTCACAAAATGATTAATAAACAATTTACTGGATAAATTATTTTTCTGCAACTGTGGTTAGAGAGACACCTCCAACATTCAGAGGTCACATCTGGTTACTAAAGGTTACTAAAAGAGAGAGAGAGAGAGAGCAATATCTTTAGGTCTCAGATATCTTATACTAATGACGTGGCCTGCCTTGATGAAACTACAATGTTCTGAAGATGGACTACAAAAACCACATCTTTGCGTTGCGCCCCGTGTTGTTTTAATGCAGGCCATCTAAAGGTGGACAACAAGGTGGAATATATTACTTCATAATCAAGATAGCAAAAAGGCATAGCAGAAAGGGTTGTCACATTGAGAATGCTTGCTCACACTCACCCTCCTCATATTATTCATATTCATCAACATGAATCTGAATTGTATGTAAACAGTGTTTCCCACAGAATGACAGTGTAACTGTGGCGAGAGAGAGGGGGGGAGCTAGCAGAAGAGGCTGCTGAGTGAATAGCCTAGTATTCTATATGTGCTGCCTGCAGCTCTGTGATCAAATACAATTTTACACATAACCTAGTAAAAAAACCCAACAAGAATCGACAATGTGGCGGTCAGCGTTGATAATGTGATCAACACTGACTGCAGCTTGATCATTGCCTTTATAAAGGTAAGGGTGACAGCATCTGTGACTGAAGTAAAATGAATTAATGATATTGCTGAAGGCTGGCAATACATACATGCTGCAACATTGTCCTCACTCATTTTACAAGAATAGTAACACAGCTTGCATAGGTCTCAGTTACTGTTGACAGTTCAAGACATGTGCATATTAGCGAGTTACAACATAAGAGAGAAAAGGCTTAATAGACAATGGTAACTTGATCAAAATCCTTTATCCGTTATGGTCGGTGATTTCTTTTTTTTTATTGTAGAAAATTCTAATACAACACTTTATAGCTTATTTCAACAATCTGAAACATAGAACGGTGTTGAAACAGTATTAGATTACAGCAAAGCCAAAAGAAAACAAACCAAAAGAAAGAAGGAAATTGTGAGTCTTATTCAAGAATCATAATGTGCGTCTGTAGTGCAAGAATTTTGCTAAATGTGGTCAATGGATTTTATCTTTGAGTTTGAGAACGTGCGTGGCTATGTGTAAATGTTGCCGCTGCAAGGAACTGTGGGACGGCATTCTCTCCTTTCCTTTCGTAAAGGATGGTCTTATGTACTCTATGCTAAAGGAGATATGAAAGGAAGCATTGAGGCACCTTTCCTTAGCTTTTAGAGAATTCGACCAGCTCTTGTCATGGCTGCCGCTGAAATACTTCTGGTTCACTTCACTCAGTTAGGAACCTTCCTAAGCAAAAAATTATTTCAGACACAGCCCAGGCTGCTGTCTGAATGAATGGGGAGAGAGCCTAGAACTGCACTTTCACTGGTCACCGGAACATATAAACTACATGAATAGAATCAGCAATAAAATCTGATAAAAACTGCTGAAAAAGTTTGACGACTTCGCCTCAAAATAAGGTTTAAAAAGCATTTTTCCCAACCGGTTATACTTCTACCACGCATGCGCAGTAGGCCCCTTACGTCAATGGAAACTCCATCCTTGGCTGTTAAAAGAAGAGGATTGGCTTTCTAGTGGCCTTACGGGTTTTCCCTACAGAGTTATACTGAGGATTCTTAAAGTTGTATATCTTCTCTGTATAACTTCTCTGGTATTAGCCAAGATATAAAAATTTGCAGTCCAGCTTTGTGTGTTGGCGTCTGCAGCGGCCTAAGAGGCAGCTCAGGGTTAAAAATCACTCGGATTAGCTTTCAGGAAGTTTTAAATTATGGGTTGGCCAAATTGCACAGGGGCCACTGAAAACACACTGTGCAACACAGAGGTAACAGCATTTTGGATGTTTCCACAACTCTGGATTCCTGAGCACATGTGGTATAGAGTACACACACAGTAAACTGAAAGTGGCCTGTAAATTGAAAGGCAATTACAATGAAGTTGAGTGAATTTTACTTCAAAAATGTATGGAATATAGATGTTGAAATGCTTTACATGCAGCACACATTTATTGCATTGGCATAGGTGTTACCTGTGTCTCATTGAAGTCTTTGACGCCAACACAGTACACAATGGCTCCAAGAGACCTGGCCCTCTCCGCCTGTCGAAGAAAGAGGGAATAAATCTATTACTTCCAGAAAACCGGCACTCTAAGCAATGTGAGTATTTTTGCCACCAGATGAGCCCTGTTACTAAAGCGTTTTTTTGAGTTGCTACCTCTTGCTGTGCAGTAATAAGCTGATTTTCCTGCAGCTCTCCGTCTGTCAGTGCAATAATCACGCTGGCTGTGCCTGGAAGAAACGTACAGACATGCTATATAACACCAACGTAATTCATAACTTAGCCTGAAGTAAGTTTTCATGCGAATGAGTTATTTGATGCTTACCAAAGTTCTCCTGGTGTATCTGCTCGTTTGCCTTCAAATGGGAAGACATTTTTGTTCAATTAACATTGAGCTTTGCTAAAAAAGTTTGATACAAATAGCATTAAAAAAGCATTATGACAAAGGCTTACCCTCTGCAATCCAAGGTGCATGAATGTGTCTCCACCAGGAATCTCTCTTTTCAGAGCGTTCAGCCCCTTTCTGATGTCCACTCTGCAGAGAAGAAAGATAGCTGAGTTGGTTTTGGATGAGGATGCATGTAAACTGCAGTTACCTGTCTTTTTCAAGGGTGTAGATGTCTCTAACCTCTCCCTTTCCTAAAATTTTCACCTGACTCTGTTCATTTCATTCCCTGGAGCTCTCATGCTGACTGGAGACCTCTCTGGAAACCAAGTTGCCTCAACTCTCTCACACAAAACAACAGTGAGTTTTACGCAACAGTTAAATGGTGACACAAGCCAATTTTCAACTTCACATGAGTCCAGAGAGCATCTGCTTTTACTCTGGTGTAATAGTTTTGAGTTTACTTTACGGCTGATGGCTTCTCTTGCTAGAAAAACATGCACTTCTAACACAGATTCATCTTAAGGTTGGTCAGTTGCAGTTCATTATATTAAAGGGTCACATGAAATAATTACATTAATCAACAGACTGCATCCACTATGACTTCATTTACCTGTTTTCCGTCAGTTTCATGATGGTGGATGCTCTGGAGGAGAATGTTATGAAGGACATCCTCAGCATGGGACTAGAACAGAAAAAACAATCCATTATCACACCTGTCATTCAGCAGCCCACACTGTTCACCAGTTTGATTTGAAGATTGGGAAGTACTAAAATCCCCACAGAAACACAGAGTTTCTGATGATATGTGCCAAAGACTGATGGTAACTGCCAATGACAAAATTTAACAGCTTTTGGCTGCTGGTTGGTGATTTCCCACCTTGCCCAACACTTAGTGATACAAACATTTCCACATCATCTGAGGTTAATCAAAAGCATCAGCTATACAAAAAGAGACATTTGTTTTCCTCAGAAGCATAAAATAAATGGCAGTTAAAATGAACAATGAACAAATATCTTCACTTCCTTTGTGATCACTCCAACATGCCTGTGTATAAATTAAAAGTGGCACCGTGCATGGATGTATGAAACCTCTGTGCGTGACAGTGATTTAAACATTGGTATTCAAGCTATGTCACTGACTCCTCAGATGTGAAAAAGTTTGTTACTTTTGTTTATTGGTTAAAATTTATATTTAGAAAGGCGTTACATACACATACATGCACGGCGATCTGAAGAGAGAAAAAAAGTGTTTATTGTTTGTGAGAGAAAGTAAGTTCATGGAGATTTGAGCTGTTTGAAACTTTCTCATGTTTGTTTAAAACAGAAACTTTGAGGGTCAGCTCTTTGCTGTGGCTGAACCACGAAGCTCCAGGTGTTGTTGTGGCCTACAAGCAATAAGGACAAAACAAAACCACCCACGAGCTGAAGACCGTTTGTTGAAATGTCACATTTTACACTGCATTTTTACAGCTCTGGAGTAAAATATAGTTCATATTTTAGCCACAAGAGAGCTTACAGAATAAGTGGAGGACGGCACTCTAAATGACTACCACTGACATGACATAAAAGGGATAAATGAAAATGTCCACATCTTACTGTCACACTAGTTTGTATCTGTGTGACACTGGTACAATGACATTCTGACAACTTATACAGTGTTATGTGTATATACTAGCAGATGTTTTATTAAAAAAACAGCTGTTTGAATTTATGTTAATATTCATAGCAAAAGAATGGTTTGCAACCAATCCAACTTATTAAGCTATTGTTCCACCTTGACGGGGCAATCAAGTGACAAGTGGACCATCCCGTTTATGTATCACAAACATAGATAACAGATAACAACATGAACCGTTAGGACATGAGTTTTCGATCACATAAAGAGGCTCAATTGACGAATACACTTTACAGTCTGATGTTCAATTAGGGGCAGTTATGCTGCTGGGGGACTGCAAGATCCTATTAGTTTTATAATTTCAAGCCCTGTATAATGTTCCTCTAATGGCTATATGGGCCTATTCTACTTATAACATTGCCATACATTTGTCCTAGTAACTCACGCTTTTGTAACTAGTGACTTTATTTAACTCTATTGAACAGAATGCAATACATGATTGTTTTCCAACTCAGATCAAAGTTTTAGACAAGGAGCTCAATGGAGCTTTCTATCATTTGCACTCATTATAATATGATTTTAGATTAGATTAGAGTAACATTTCGGGGAAAAGATCTGAGTTGAGATGGTGCAGTGTTTTTTGAAGGTGGTGGATTTTGTAGGCCTTGCCCATTGAGAGCATCCATCATTCTGTGCCCTCCTCTAAGTCTCAAGAGGCTGTAAATCCCAGGCTATCCGACACATCCAGGCTTTCCAGCCTGTAGTCACTGCTGGAAACTCACTTACACCACTGGCATCAGCTCAGCTACTGCAGAGACAGAGTGAAACATCAACCTGGATGCTGAGTGACTTAGCATATGGCCAGCTGTAGCTGTAGGGACAGATTTTATTTTACTTTACCAGTGTGACTGCTGCTTAAAGTGTGCGTTTCTCTGATGATCTACATCTCGGGGCTCCAGGAAGTCGAGTACAGAGGCAACAAGGTTGTTTAGTAACTAGAGACTTAAAGTCCAGTTATGAAACGTTTCCAAACCTTTTAAGTGTTACAATATACTGTCCACCTATGTAGATCCACTTACCTTTTGAATTTCTCTGCTAGATTCTCCACAAAGTAGTAGATTTCCTCCCAGTGATTCTTCACACTGCCGGACCTAAGACAAGGAAAAAGAGAAGACCACTCAAATAAACAGCACTCATGTCTAAGAAATTAAACTTCAAAGTATACACACACCAACATTAAATTATGAGTTTACAGCAGTCATGAATTAACATACAGAAAATTGAAAAGCTTTCCTCAAAGAACACTAAGAACAGGATGAAACAAGAAATATCCTCAATAATTCCTGTATGTGTCTTTGAGTTACAAATGGTTTGTTCAGCAAGAAATACCTTAAGCTATCTGTCAGACACACACTATCCTCCATATGGTATAGCAGTCAAACAAGAAAAATACAGCTTTGTTTTGTTAGCCAAAAAAAGGCAGGGTGTAAAAGCATTAGCTCCACAACATGAAAAACAAGCTGTATTCTGGACAACTTTAACTTTTAACAGTAACTTTACTGTCTGTCGCAATTATTTGTAACAAAAAGTATTGTTTGTTGTTTATTTAATCGTAGGAATATTGTTTTTATTCCATTGTTGCTATCAATAGCTACCCTGCTGTTTAGCTGTTTAGCTAGCAACAGATTAGATACTATATCCTTTTTTTCTGTTACTGAAGGATATTATGCTGCATTCACGCCAAGTCATAATGTGGAAACAACATGTTATGTATGTGATGTTCCTATCTAAGTATGCTGAAATAATTTGAAGCTTAGTGATTTTGTCCAAGATTTGTTGCTGAACTAGTAGGCTACATTCCCTAAAACTACTAAAATGTTGCTTTACCTGACATGTTATCAGGGTTAATGCTTATAAAGAACTAATATAGGTCTTTTGTCCGCCATATTTCTGTGTAATATGACATGTATAATTTGGCAAGTCGTGTGACACAACTTCGGGAACAGTCGGGAACTCATTTTTCCACTTGTTCTGACACCACATGAATGCAATGTAAAACCTAAATTTCATAAAGAACATGGACCATCCTTTTTAAGTATCACAAACACCATTGGGGGAATAACTTAAATCGATTAGCCAATGCAATACCTTAGGGGCCAGTGAGTGTACTCTTGAGATAAAAGAGGTTGGTGGCTTGGTCTGGTGTGTAATTTAGCACCCTCCTGTATCCTGAATGAGCCCCTGAAGGCTGAGGAAATAGGTACTTTTCTCCCTAGGGGAATGTCCATAAAACTGGACTCTTATTAAAAATTTCCTCTGGGGAGATTTTGTGTGTGAGTGTGTCTCTGTGTGTGTTTGTGGCAATTTTATTAAGTGTATTTATAAAGGAAGCGGGCTTCCGGCATGATGTGACCCGTCAGCAGGTCACCCGTTAGCTAACGAGCGAGCCAGAGAGATGACACATGGGAAATGAGCTAATTGACTGTGGTAAAACTGGAGGATGAAGTTTACTTAGAATAAAGTGCAAGGCTGACTGAATGTTATTTTAGGTGCTGACTAACTGATGTAACGGCCTTAGACACACAGGAACTAGCCAGCACTGATGTGTTGCTCTTTCTCTGTTTTGGGCAGAAGGTCAACACCAATTTTTATCCACAGGGATTAATCGGATTTACATGCAGGACGTCCACTGAGATGTCTCCGTGATATCAGAACATACAAATGTGACTTTTTAGGTCTATACCTTTATTTTAGCACTTAAATGAGTGTCATACATTCAGAAATTAAGAAGGGAGTTCAACTCATAATGCAGGAGGCAACAATGGGCCTTGAAATTTAAATCAGCGTATAAGGGAGTTCATGGGAACAAGACTAAACACTGACTCTGTTATCCTAGCTTACCTTTTAGTTGTTCACAGCACACTCAAATACTTTTGGAGAATCACGTCTAGACATAATAAACAGAATGGACTCTTTCTTGCATATGGTCTTTTCAAGCTGATGAGAAAACATTTGTTCAGTAAATGAGATTACTACCAACAAAGTTGATTTTCTGTGTAATGCGTTTTGATTCCTTTGATATTTGAAGATACAGGAACCATCAAAGTCTTAGTCTTGTGACCTGCTTTGGAAAAATAACACCAGCCACATGGCCAAAAACTTAAAATGAATATGAGTTGTGACTAATGTTATTTGCCACAAGGTTTTACCCTATGGTGTTTTTGTGTTATTGCTTGGCAGTGGAGGGGTAATTCGTGGGCCATGTTGGGGGGTAGACAGAGCCAGAGAATACCAGGGACTTTCCCGTCATGCCTCAGTCATTTAAGGCTCCTTATCCTGCCAACAAGACTCAAAATGCTCTTTCTGGTAGACCGGACAATGTGAGAAGAATATTGTGTGTCCGTATTCTTCAAATCCTCAATTTTCCACTTTAAAGTGGCAACAAGAAAGCTTCTGACTGTCGCATAGCTCATTTAATATGTGCAAGAAGTTGACAAGAGTTGTTGCTCAGCGATCGCTTTTGCAGATGGAGAACTTCTTGGCCTTTGAAACAGCTACAAACATTTCAAGGAGAATCAGAATGAGCAACAGTAGCCAAAGTGAGAGCCAGTTCATACTCTTCATCAACTTAAAATCCAGATTGAATCCTCAGAAAAAGTTGAGCTGCTATAAAGGAAAGCAACTTTCTGAGTAAAAACACCAAGAATGTTGCAGAGTAGAGCACTGCACCTCTGCCAAAGTTCAGGTTTGGGTTCCCATGGGCCACCCATTCGGAGGATTTCTAGACCCTTACTCCAAATACAATAAAAGCATCCACAATAACATGTTATGTAAGTTCCAGCTCGTCTAGTCTTAACAGCTACAAATGAAAAATCCTACCTAAGCATATTCTCAGTGTTGCTGTTGATCTGGTGACATGACGTGTTCCACCACATCAAGGCTTTACAGCTTTACATTCCTGTGAGGGAAACTGACTGAGCAAAAAAGAGGACAAGACCTTACAAGCTAAACAAAATCCTCCAAAAATATAAAAGCTTGAGGTGGAGGAGGAGAGGTGTTTTACTTGGATGTTCAACAAAATGTGCAGCGCAAACAGAAATAGTCACACAAGGATTGCATACACACACACACACGCGCGCGCACACACACACACACACACACACACACACACACACACACACACACACACACACACACACAGACAGCCTCTGATCTGAAGGAACTGCAGGAGCCAATTTTTTTGTAAATCGTTCCATTACAGCAACAGACAAAGGGGTAAAAACTGGTGAAACTTTCCTGCAGCTAACAGTCATGTAGAGGTGTGGGGATATTTTTTCTGAGTATTTGTTTAACATCAGGGTGAAGCTGAGGACTCCCACCTTTGGTTTTCAACTGCTTATCTTTATTTCTGAGCCGCAATAGCTCATGTTTGACTTGGAACAGTTCAATTGTCTGAGGTGGCTGCAGTCGTGGGACCGAGGCCTAGCTTGCAGTTTCACTCACCTGTCCAAACAACATTGGGAAAGGAAGTGGGCCATTTCATTCTATGATTCTTGATGAAACCATTTTATGCAGTGCCTTTTCTCCCTTCAATGCTTTGATCTGATTTTAGTGGAGTTGTGCTGTAAATTTCAGCGGTTTGGGGTCTGGACACAGAAAACAATAGATTTCAAGAGGCGAGGGGCGCTACCATTTGCAGACAAAGTGATAAAGCCCAACAGCAGTTTGAAGTTATGTCACAGCAAATCGTCAAAGCTGAGTGACAGTGTTTTTTCGATTGGACAGATTGTCTGGGCAAAATGAAGAGCATATGTCTGGCCTCACGCCATTTGAGGGCTCAGAGAAAAAGAAACAAAGGGAAAGAAGGAAGGAAAGAAGGAAGGAAAGAACAAGGGAACGATGAAGAGCATTATCAATGAGATTACAGTAAATTCAGCCGAGTGGGAGTGAGATCATGTGAAAAAACCGTTGGCTTGGTCGCAAATTTGTCTGCCAGAGGAAACATGCAGATGATTTGATGAAAACTTGTGAGCTGTGAGGCCAAGATTCTGTTTGACCTGCTTCAGTATGCTTCAGCCAACACAGCTGGCAAACACATCAAAACTGCCTGAAGCACCAACACCAACAGACAACCAAAGCAAGGCGTAATATGATAAATCAATGAGCATTTAAAATTGATCAGTGTTACTGCTAATGTTCCAGTGTTGCCAAACGGTTAGTTTGCGGCTGTTGGCCAGATTCCAAATTCATTAAATTTTGAATTAGCCATTAAAAACAACATTATAAGCCATTTAAAAACAAATCAAAAACCAGGCAGACAAAACATAAAGAATAATTGTAGCGTGAAAAATACAGAGGAGATAATAAAAGCAGGCACTTACAACATAGCAATGTATGATGTTATGTTACAAGGACAAAGGTTGTACAGTAACAGATAAATCTGGAAGATGACACACTGCTGTCCTCAGCGTTTTTGTGAATAATGGAATTCTAAGTGGGGGAGTTTGTACATTAATCAGGTTTCATGGGAAAATTCTTTCAGCTAAAAATGTTACATCTTCATGCTCATGGAGTATGCTACAATATTGGAAGCTTTTAGGTTTGCTGTCCAGGATCATAAGGGCTTGTTTATTGACTGGGTTCTACTGTTTCATCAGTAGCAAGAGACTGGTTATAGTTAAAGACTTTAAACCCAAGGACAGGAAATAAACAAAGGAAAAAACATTGCATGACTGTAGGGTGAGCAGGATGTCCTCTACAGTCTGAACTCAGTGACTCCTGCTCTGAAGAAGAGAACTATATTAACTACAGTTAACATCTAAAACGCTAGGGTGCCCGTGTGTCTTGGGGTTTTAAGGTGCTGACCATTCTTCATCTCTCACCACCTAATTTCCTGTTATCTCTCTACTGACAGCTCTCAAATAAGGGAACAAAATGCCTCTCCCCCCAATACTTACATCATTCCAACATTAAATGTGGTGATCTACTGTTTCCAACTAGCTGTGGACACAAAGGGAGGCAATACGCATCGTTACTGTTCAGTGATGCTGAACAGACCGTGTCAGGGGAAGAAAGGAATTTGCTAGATGTCCCGCAAGAGTCTGAGAAGACCTGAAGAATAAAAACATCTTCAGTCATTTTTAAAAATGTC